ACAGCTATATTTTTCTAACTTTCAAAAATTTTTTGAAAGTAAACAAAGTCATATTTTCTTTTTCTCTAAGAAAAAAAATTACTAAGCCTTGAGAAGGTTTGTATTTCTAAAATAATAATTTTTAAAATGTAAAATGGTTACAGCATGTGGATAAATTCAAGTTGTTATTAATTAAATGTATTTGGAGTCATAAGTGATAATTTTGTAAACAATACCTTGATTCTTTCTAGCTTCAAAGTAAAAGTTTAGATGATAAGACCTGAGAGTTCTAGTCATTTATGTTTCATCCAATTTTGAATCAAAAGTTTAGTTTATTATATCTTATGCAAGAAACAGTGCAATTAATCAAAGTATGTACCTAAACTATCAGGACATGGTTTTGCCATCTTAACAGTAGCTTGCTTATGCCAGCAGCAAATAAGCCTGGAGAGCAAGTGGTGATGAAATCATGAAAGGTGTTTCCCACAGCTTGTTGAGAACTGAATATTTTTCCTTGCAAGAAGTGGTCCAAAGCCTAGAAGAAGGGGAAGTCAGTTGGTGTGAGGTCTGGTGAATACAGCAGATGACAGAGAGTTCCCAAGTCCAGCTGCTGTAGCTTGAGCAGCATTGTTTTTTGCGACATGTGGTCTTGCAAGAGGATCGACCTGTCTCTATTGACCAGTCTCGGCTTCTTAGTCACAAGCATCCTCATCATTTCATCCAGTTGGTTGTAGTAGACATCTGCTATAATTGATTGACCAGGTTTCATTAAGCTAGTGGATAATGCTGGACCACCAAACAGACACCATTAGCTTTTTTGAATGAGTATTCAGTTTTGGACTGTGTTTACGCACTTCATCGTTATCCAACCATTTTTGCCAAATACTTGCTTGCAATTGTCGGAAAGAGTCCACTTTTCATCACATGTAACAATACGGTGTAGAAGTCGTTCACCTTTATGTTGTGACAGCAAAGAAAGGCAAACTTCAAGACAGTTTCTTTTCTGATGATCATTTAATTCATGTGGTACCCATCTATTCAGCTTCCTTACCTTGCCCATTTGTTTCAAATGTTCCAGTATTGTTAGAATAGTAATGTCAACCCTTTGCTGCTAATTCACGTGCAGATTGAAATGGATTGGCTTCCACTATAGCTTTCAGTTCATCATTATCCACCTTGGTCTCAGGTCACCCACATGGCTCATTTTCTAGATTAAAAATCACCAGAATGAACTTCTCAAATCATTGATGTACTAGCAACATCCTTCCCAAACACTTCGTTGATATCTTAAGCTGTCTGGCACTGCATTGGTTCCACGACAGAACTCATATTCAGAAATAACACGGATTTTTGACTTATCCATGGTTTCACAAAAATTGTTCTAAAAAAAATTGGACAGATAATCACAAGCCAAACCTTGCATTTGAAATAATGAGGATGTACCTTCACAATAAAAATAAAATAAGAAATGTGAAAGTGAAATGTCAGAGATATCAACTGTCAAACTTAATATCTAAGGAAACTGGACATTCCATACTTTATAACCTAATATATTAAAACTTCTCCAAATGTTTATTATTTCCATCTCTGCCACCTTTTCTCCACCTACCCACTCCCACTCCCAGGACTAACCTAGAAATGTATCACGTCTTTATTGTTTTAAGGCAGATTATCAAATAATAGTTTGTCAACTTTGGGAATTTGGCTAACACATTTTACTGGTTAAACATAGGAGACCTGGATAACTAACCCTTCATCACTCTGCACTGTTTTTCATCTGATAAATTACTTGTTTCTCTATAATTTCCTAATCTCTATTTATTTTTACTTCTCAAAGAAGCTTCTTGAGAAACATTTTAAACCCAATCCCAACTACAAGGAAAGGTTTACAGGAGAAACTCTTGAGTGTGGACGTGTGGCTGGGAACAGTTGATGGGAAGCTGATGAGGAAGCTGAGAACATGTTACTATTACCTCTGTCCCTTGGGTCTCCCCTTTCATAGATCTCTAAACTGCCTTCAGCTACTTTTAAACTGTATTTTGAATGTATATAGATTATTCACACCTTTGTCTTTCCCATCATTAACTCTCCAGGAATTTTTTTTTTAAGACTATTGCATAATTGCTATGCAGATTGCTATGCAGACAAACCTCATTTTGAAGTAGACATGCTATGAAAAATTTAGCATTCACAACTAGGAGAAATTTTAATACTGTCTAGTCCAACATTCACATTTTCATAAAACCTAGGGCTAAAGATTTTCAAACAGGTAGTAATTTCAAAATTAGGATAAAATCCTAGGTTTCTTGATTCTGCCATTTTTCTATGTGATCAATGGAAGAAAAATTGAGAGTTTTTTTTTTTTTTCTTATACAAAATGATGTTTGGACTTTAAAAATGATCCACTTACCTGTGTAACATGTTAGAAACATTGTGGCATAAAGAGAGGTTTGCCTGATTATTGATTGCTACTGTTATTTGCTATTGTTGTCTCCCTTTTATCCTCCTGATAACCTTTAACAGGCAGTAGACCCGATTTAGAATGAGGGAGATACAAGTGGGATCCAGCTTCTCTTCAGTCACTAATGTTGTAGCTAGTTTATTGGGACATTTTAGTGTATCGCAAAGATGTCTTTGTTGTGTCTTGATGCCCTATGAATGTAGGTTTTGGATAGTGGAAAAACACTGTTTCCTATCTCTTATATCTCTGAGCAAAGTTTCTAGCAGGTTTGCAAAAGTCATGGCCTGAAAGGGCTGCAAGACCTATCCTGTTTTTTTGCTTAAGTTTAATAGAGAATTCAAATGTTCCTTCTATAGAATAGAATAGAAGGATTTTATAAATACGGAACACTTTTCCTTTTTTTATTAGATTGTTCAAATTCCATTCTGTGGAGAAATTGACTGTGAAGACTGGATCAAAAAGACCACTGCCAGGTAAGCATAATTAAATGATCAAACTCGTGAGGTATTGCAATGGAAAGGAATAGCAATATCCAGCATAAATGAATAAAATTCTTACTTGTTTTTGATTTTAGGGATCAAGATCTTGAACCTGGTGCTCCGTCCATGGGCGCTAAAAGCCTTTGCATCCCCTTCAAACCACTCTGTGAACTGCAGCCCGGAGCCAAATGCATCTGTGGCAAGAAGCCTGCCAAGTACTACACCCTGTTTGGTCGTAGTTACTAGAGGATAAAACAAACCCCCCTCTCCGATTCTCTTCACTTTTTAAAAAATTGATATTACTATCTTCTCAGATACAGTTTTATGATTTTTTTAAAAAATAAGAGCTCTAAAAGGAAGTCACAGGACACAATTATTCTTATCCCAAATTAACTGTGGAAAAGGCTTTTCTGTAAACAACCCCAGTAATAAATATCATAAACTGATACTGTTTTATGTTATTCATTTTTTCTGAAATGCATTGTGTGCTACAAGGAAATTCCTACAAAGAGATGAAGATAGTTGAAAGCTAGGCAACTGTTGTTGATCCAAGCACTCCTCGAGATGTCCCAGACCTTGAACCACCGGTCATCCCCTGTGCTGTGTGTCCTGAAGCACTTCCTTTCCATAGCTCCTAATACTCAACGTGAAATTGTCCTGAATCTGTTTTAAAAAACAAAGCAAAACCACAAATGGAAAGAGAATACTACTAATAATAAAGCTTTTCCTTGAGCTTCCCTTTCCCCCTCGTTACTATTGGGTCTTTGGAAAAAGGTCATAGTTTCTGAGATAGTGATCAAGCTTCTGCTTCTTACTCTGTACTTTTCCTCACCCGCCTGTCCCCACCACGACACTGTTTTTACTGAGATCACTAAGAATGCTTCGGACCAAAGGTAATGTTCACTTCTTAGTTTCTTATCTTATCCCTGTGCTGCATTTAGTACTCTTTTTATTAAAATTATTCCTGTGACCTTCCCTCCCTTCCTCTCTAACTCTTTTTGTTAGTTATGAGTCTTTCACTGGCTTTTCTTCCTTGGCCTGCTTCTTTATTCATTTCTTAGACACTTCCATACTTGGCCCTCTCCTCCTGCTGCCTGAACATCCTCATCTAGTCTCGCAGTTTCAAGTGACATTAATAGGCTAATGACTCCAATATTTTTTATCTCTAGATATGAGCTCTAGACCCCATTCCAGCTACATACTGAATTCTCTTGAGTGTTGCAATCAACAACTCAGGTCGACATGTCCCCAAAACTTCATTTCACCTACTACCCCTAGACCTCCTCCTCTTCCTCCTGTAGTATTTCCTGCCTGGAAGATTAGCACTGCCAAAATGCACCCAAACTAGAAACCTAAGCGTCATCCCAGGCAGCCCCTCCAACACCGTCACCCATGTTCATTTGGTCAGCAAAACATGTATCTGTTACCTCTAATGTCTCTTGGATCTCCCCTTTCATAGACCTCTACGTTGCCTTCAGACCTTGGTCCCTCTAGTGCTGATTAACATCCTCTAGTTTCCTCTCCAGGCCATTCCGCATTTCCATGGTGGTTTTTTTTTCTGTAACAGACAACTTATTAAAATGTTTTTCTTCCTCTTAAAACCCTATTGTGGTTCACCATCATTTACAGGATAAAATTTAAACTACTTAGACTATTCTGGCTCAATACCCATCCAGTTATTTTCTTCTGCCAATCCAGCATAGTCCTTTGCAACCTATCCATTTGGGATTTCCTGTAAACAACATATTTCCTGTCTCTGTCCTTTGCCTGGATTTGTCCTTTTGTCCCTTATTTCTAATCTACTTAGTAAATCTCTTATTTCAGGACCCTGTTCCAATATGCTTTTCTGCTTGGTAGTGATAAATATTAATACACCAGTAGAGGGAAGAGACTTCAAAAAGGACTTGAATTTTGAGCTTGACTCTAAAGGATGAGTAGATTGCAATAAATAGAGGAGGAAGGACATTCCAGGCAGAGGGACCAAGAGATGCAAAGGCACAAAAGTGCACGGTATGTATGAGAACACTGAAGAATTGTTCTTAATGTTGGTAGGGAATTACCAACTGAGAGCAGATTATAAATAGAGTGTGCTTTCAAGACTGATGTTTGAGTATGTGTATCCACATACCTAGCTTAATGAGATCAGCTGAAATATATGAGCCACGTTTTTCTGCTCAGAACCATAATTTCCTGTTGATTTATGGCAGTTCATAATGCTTTTATCTTACTTTATCCTTAGCTATGTAAACTGCCTGTTTCTTCAGTTGTAAAATGGAGAGTCTAACACCTATCTCTTAGTTATTCTGCTTCATAGAGTAAGATCTTTAGAACAATGCCCAGAACATACTAATAAGTAAGAGCTATTGGTTATAATTCTGCAGGATCAACTGGAAGTAGGTCCTAATATATAGCTCTAGTTATAGTAGTTACTTTAGCTACTAATTATTTTTCTGAAAACCAACATAAATGCTTTTAGAGGACAAGGGTTTTTGTTGTCAGTCCATGACAAAAGCTTAAAAGCTCTAGATTAAAGACTAATTACTCCACATTTTGCCTAGCCACTGGCCATTTAGGAGTAGGTGGTCATCTCTGGTGCAAAGACAAATCCCCACTCTATTTTTCGAAACTTCAGATGTGTAGGACTAATCACAGTAAAGCTTGAAGTTTGCTGCTTTAAAGGAAGTCAGTATTTAAAGAAATAGTAATTATGTTAAGGAAGGAATCCCTCACCCAAAATGTACCTCTTATAAATTGGCTTTTTTCTTAAATTGAAATTTAGCTAAATTATCAGGACTTTTTGAAATTTCATACCTTAAGAGTGGTGGTGCCTTTCATAAACCTGAATGCAAACAATATACTTTAAGAAATGAGCATTGCTTTACTTGCAGGTGACAGCTGTAAAGTAGACATATGACTGAGTCACAAAAGTGATTGTGTGCCTAGCGTTCATGACAGCAAAAAGCAGGTCAAGACATATTTACTTCTGGCTCTGCTCACAGGGATAAGTGTACCCACACTACATCTTAGCGATTTCTAGTTCATCCATGGGAGAATGTTTAAAATAATTTTTCATTACTCCAGTAAATCACATGAAGCCTTTATGAGAATTGAACAATAATGGCAACTGATGGGGCTCATTTGGAGAGGATTTGGGTCTTAAGATCAGCAGCAGCAGAACACTTATAAAGTAAGTAAGGAGGAAGGCATTTGGACCAGGGAGTAGAACGATCACCCCATTTACATCTGATTCTTGTTGTTGATATTAGTCATCTGCCATGTAACTATGGTGCTCAGGGGGTGTCAGTACCATCAAAAAGTTGGGGGACGCAGCTACTACCGTGTTTCCCCCAAAATAAGACAGGGTCTTATAGTCTTATATTTATTTTTCCTCAAGAAGACACCCTAGGGCTTATTTTCAGTGGATGTTTTAAGTACAGTACAACCACCTACATTTATTCAAATAAAGTTAAGTCATCTTCTGGAACATCATCATAACTCTCCAAACCCTGAATTCCATCCTGAATTTCTTGTGACTCTATTTCCTTTAGAACCATTGGCCCCAATCTCTCATGTCAAGTAACAGAGCTCTCATGGGGCAGACGAGAAGGGCTGCTCATCTTTACCGCTTCACAACGAAATGCAAGGGTTGTGCAGATAGGCTGTGTAGCCACACCCCTCTCTAGGTCTTATTTTCAGGGTAAGGGTTATATTTGCGCAAATGCTTAAAAGTCCTGCTAGGGCTTATTTTATGGATAGGTCTTATTTTCAGGGAAACACGGGACTATCCTGGTATTTTCAAACATAGCTTTGGCCCTTGGCTTGTCACTTTTACTACGTTTAGAAAATGCTAGCCATTTGTTTAACAAATAAATGTGAATGCCTGCTCTGTGTACAGTGTCAGAGGATGCAATAGTGAGTAAAAAAAAATTAAACATGATTTTCCTTTTCTTGGCTGTATTTCCTTGAAATAGTTCAGTTTGATTTGTAAAACCAGGCAATCAGTAGTAGAAAGGGAGCTAGGCAATGAATTGGGCTGAGCATTGTTAGTAAGAGGCCCTAGTCTCCGTGACCCTCTCACTATGGCATGAGGTTATTCCAATCACCAGCAGCAGCATGCTGAGAACTTTCCTTCTGTAGTGGGGATGATAATACCTGGAGAATTAACTCCTCTCTGCCACATCATAAGGCTTAAAATAACGGAAATAAACACATTTTTTCCCCTTGTGGTTTAGTAGGTGATGTTAAGCCAATGTCTTTGCCCAACTTTACTGGAACGTATGAGAGTTTGGAGCATGAGTTTTACCGAAATGATACAAAAGATTTAAATAAATATCATGTAATAGGGATATTTCAAAAATAAAGTGTGTCACTAAAACCAAATTTTGTGATGGAGATACCCGTTGAATGAGGAACTTCAGAGGGTGTAGAAGCTGGTGACAATGGTGGTAATATTATTACTTTGTATGTAGGTGAATATGCAATGGTACTATAATTTCCTCATTCATTCACCCTCCTAAGCAATTATTTCATGCCTTTTTCTCCTCAAATGCCTCATGCTTCCCCTTTTTGGTTATCAGTTGATCATCTTGATTTCTATTTCACTGAGAAGATAGAGGCAATAAGAGTAGAACCTTTGGGACCTGCCACCACCATATCCACCATGTGACATGCCACCATCACTTCTAGTCCTCATTTTGCTTGCCCACTCAGTGTTTGGCTCAGCTGATTCTCCCTCTTTGAAACACATTCTTTTAGAACACTACTCTCTCCTATTTTCCCTTTTCTCTCTCTGGTCCTTTCCTCTCACCTCTTCATGTTTTCTTCCCTTCTCTGTCTCCTCACGTTTTCTGGTAACCTCATCCAGTCTCCGGGATTTGAATACTAGAAATTGTCAACTCCCAGCTTCACACACTTCCAGCCTAAACCTCTCTCCTGAACTCTAGGCTCATTCAGCAGCCTAGGTGGCATTTCAACTAGGATGTCTAATGGACACGCCAAACTTAGCGTCATTTCCACCCCTCTTCCCAATGCTGCTCCGACAGCAGTCATTTTCGTCTCACCTTCATCTCAGTTGCAACCCTGCTATTCCAGGTCAAAACCCTGGTGTCATCTTGATATTTTCTTTCTCTGATCCCTTCACATCCAATTACTCAGAAAATGTTGACTCTAACTTCAAAATATCCCCTGAGAGGCCAGCTTCAAGTGCATGTGACTTGTGCAGTTGCACAGTGCCTGGTTCAATGCTCTGCTGTTGCTGTCTTGAAACTGCCCCCCCCCAGAGTCTTGCTGCGTCACCTGGGCTTATAGTACAATGGTGTCATCATAGCTCACTGCAGCCTCAAACTCCTGGGCTCAAGCAATCCTTCTGCCTCAGCCTCCCGAGTAGCTGGGGCAACAGACACATGCCAGGTCTCCTGGCTAATTTTTCTATTTTTAGTAGAGACAGAGTCTCAAGACAGCCGGTTGCTCAGGCTGGTCTTGAACTCCTGAGCTCAAGTGACCCTCCCACTTCAGCCTCCCAGAGTGCTAGGATCAAGGTTCATTTATGTTATAGCATGTGTTGGAATATCCTTCCTTTTATAAGGTGGAATAATACTCCGTTGTATGTATAGATTCTATTTGTTTATTCTTCCATTTGTAGATGGACACTTGGATTGCTTCTACCTCTTGACTATTGTAAATGGTGCTGCTATGAACATGGGTATACAAACATCTCTTCGGGATCCTGCTTTCAATTCTTTTGGATATATACCCAGAAGGGAATTGCTGGACCATATGACAATTCCATTTTTAATTTTTTGAGAAACTGCCATAGTGTTTTCCATAGTGGCTATGCCACTTAAACATTCTTAATAATTCTTGAACTAGAGATTCTGCATTTTCATTTTGCAAGAGAACCTGTGAATTATGCAGCCAGTCCTACTGGGATGTTCCCACTTTACACCTGGTCTAAGCCACAATCTTTTATCTAGACTATTGCAATAGCCTCCTAATTGGTCTCTCTGCCTTCATGTAATCTCAACACACCCAGTGATTCTTTAAACCCATAAATTCGATCTCATTCTTCTGGTTTGATATTCTCCCATCCCAGGGCCCCACATGGCCTGCCCCTTCCCCGTCAGCTCTTTGGCTTTTATTCCTGATTTCCCATCTCCTCAGTTACTCCTCTCCAACCCTGCTGATCTCTCCAGTGTCCCTTGAACTTCTCATGCTCATTATTCCCTCTGCCTAGAAAGATCTTCTTTCACATGTCTGCATCATTCAGTTTCTTACCCCTTTCAGGTCTTTACTCAAAGAACATCTCAGCCAATTCTTACCTGACCACTTTATTTAAAATAGCACATCCCAATGCCAACATTCACTTTTCCCTGCTTTGTTTCCATCATACTTATTACCATTTAACATTCAATACATTTTATGGTTTATTTTGTTAATTATCTGTCTGGCCCCCCTAGAATATAAGCCCCACAAGGGCAGGGAGTTCCAGATCCCAGAACGCCATCTGGCATGTAGGCACTCAGTAAGTATTTTTCGCATGAATGGATGAATGGGACAGTCTTATAGCAATAGTTTTCACAATCTGATTGTATTAGAAGTCTGTCAGAATATTAATTGAATTGGAGATAAGGAAACTATTAGGGCTACTAAGTTGTTAGGTTTTAGTCAAAGTCCAGGTTCTCCAGAAAAACAGAGCCAACAATGTGTGTGTGTGTGTGTGTGTATAAAGAGAGATTTATTATAAGGAATTGGTTCTACGTAATTAAAAGGCTGAGAAGTCCCAAGATCAGTGGTGAGTCAGCAAGAAAGAGAGTGGATGGGGGTAGTTCCAGTCTGAAGGCCCATAAAGTTGAGACCCAGGAAGAGTCCGCGTTTCAGTCTGAGTCCGAAGGTAGGAAAAAGCCCATGTCCCAGGTTGAGGGCAGCCAGGCAGGAGGGGTTCCCTGTTCGTGAGCCTTTTTGTTCTATTCAGGCCCTTAGCTGATTTTAGGAGGCCAATCTGCCTTACTCAGTCTACTGATTCAATAATTTCATTCAGAAACAACTTCCCAGACACATCCAGAATGTCTTGGGTGTCATTGACCAAATGGCCAGTCAAGCTGACATGTAAAATTTATCATCAGACTTTAGATTCAGAAAGAAAAAATTAAAAAAAGGTTGGGTAGAATAATATTAGTCTATATTTCTTTAAAAGATTGACAGTGGGCAGGCTACTCAAAGCAATAGGGGCCACTGCTGTTTTAGATATTCAGAAACTGATAAGCTTTTAGGCCTATACATTGTGGCAGATTATAAGATTTTAAGAAACAAAACCAAAAACTTCTTGGCATCAGTTAAATCATTTGTGTCTCTTCCTGAAACTAAGCAGGATTATGTCTTTAGCTCCTCCAGCTTAAAGGCTTTTTACCTTTTCTGAACATGGGAAATGTTTTTCTTGTCTTATTTATGGAGAAAGTTTGGAAGTAGGGATGCTTGTTTATTCTAGGTCAGTGGGCAGAGCAATAGAAAAATCACCTTAGCTTTACCTGTGGCTTTTCACTTACTGTAGTTCTGTGGATTGGTGACCTCTAGAATCTAGTCCCTGTTTCATGCAGTAAATGGCATTCAAAACTATTTACACACCAGGTAGACAAGACACACTGTGTACGTCATGGCCTGCTCCACCAGAGCTGTTACTGTGCACACAGAGAACAGGGAGGCTGGAAAGGCCACGGCCACTGATGAGCTTCCCCGCGATTCAAGGACACGGGTGCTCTCGACTTCTGTAATTAAACACACACACACAAACAAACAAAAAAAAATCTCTTAAGACCGTATCTGAAGCCAGTGTCTTCCATTTCCATAAATCCCAGCTCACCTGACGTCCCTTGCTTAATTGCCCTTTAAAC